ACCTATAACCTATAACCTATAACCTATAACCTATAACCTATAACCTAATTGCATGAGCCTTTTTCAAACAGTATTTTCTGCAGCTGTTAGCAGAATGCAACATCAGAGGGATTCACAATAGTGGAGGTCAATGTGTATTGAGACTTGGCAGTTAGGCACAGCCGCAAAAGCAGAGTAAGGGCCACAAGTGACAGTAACAGACCTTGTTAGTTTAACTACAAGCAACTAAATATGACTAACAACTTGAAAAGGGTTCTTTCTTGGAGCCTCCAGATAAGGCTCACCCAGTCTTGACTTCAGCCTTGTAGCTCTTAGCAGAAAATCCAACCAAGATGTCTACCTGTAGAATTGTGGAAAATTCAACGTGTGTTTTTGTATAATGGTGACAAAACATATCAACCTGATAGCTACTGTTTTCATCATTTTTAGGGTTCAGGTCTGCAGCATTAAGAACGTTTATCCTGCTGTATTACCTTGACCACCATCCATCTCCAGAAATCTTCTTTCTAAACTCAAACAACTCAATCCCCACCAAATAACAGCTTATTTCCCCATGCTCAGTCTGGAAACCATTTTACTTCCAGTTTGCGTGAATTAGTGACTAATAGGACTCACAAGGATAATTGTGTTTAGTGACTAGCATATTTTATTTAGCGTAACACCCTCAAAATTCATACATGTTAGCATACGTGAAATTTTCCTTTCTTTTCTTAAGGCTCAGTAGTATTTGTCTTAGTTTCTTTCCCAGTTGCTTTAGTAAAACACCCTGAAACAAGAGCACCTTAAGGGATAAAGGGTCTATTTCAGCTCCCTTTCATAATTTATATTTACAGTTCTGGATCCCAGCTTAGGGAATGTTGCCACCCACAGTGGATAGGTCTTCCTATCTCAATTAACCTAATCAGAATAATCCCTGAGAGGCATTCCCAGAGACCCATCTTCCTGGTGGTTCTAGAACTCATCAAGTGATGACTGAAGTAACCCATCACAGTATTCTACTGAGTTTGTGTCCATATCCAGATATGATATATATAATATTTTATTCAGTTTTCTATGTATAGACACTTGAATTGTTTTACTTTTGGGCTACTGTGACTAATAGTATTACAAATATAGTGCACAAAAATTTTTTTGGATATATAAATGATTGTGGACTGAAGTCATTATCTTAAAAAATTGGCCAAGTGAAACAAAATAATTAAACAGCTATCATGCCTATTGAACTACACTGTTAGGTAAACAGATAATAGAGGAAAAGAAAACTCTCATAAAATTAAGCATCACAAAATTAACATAACTATAGTCTATCTAGCTCCATTTTGCCAAGCCAGTGAGAATAAGCACTCACTAAGCATTAGCATCCACTACTATCAGTAAGGAACAGGAGTACGTCTCCTGCTCCAACAACATAACAGCTACAGTCTTGTCAACAGGGTCAAATGTGAGTCTGACTCAGTCTTTGGATGCAGCTACCAATCAGAGCAGAAACAGAGAGAGGAAGGTGCGGAACTGGACCAGAATGCTATCAGTAAAATACAGTTTCTGTACATTCCACAGGTCTTAGGGTAGCTTCAAGGGGCAAACTGTGAACAAAAGGCACTGAGTTCTTAAATAGGCAAAACAAAACCATAAAATTACTATGTACTGACATATTGTAATCCCAGAACTAGCAGCAGGCTGAAGGATCATTTGACCTTGAGAAATGGAGACCAGCTTGGGAGACACAGCAAAGCATCTAAAAAATTCTCAATTTAAAAACTATAAAATTTAAGGATATCACACCATAAAATTATAAAGAAATGCAAAGAGTGATTACTTACAAGACAGAAGGCATCTGACTGGGGCACACACCAAGGGTTTAAAGCGAAATTTTATCTCTCAGCTTGAGAGCTATGCACAGGGTTAACAATTCAACTATATTTAAAAACCAAAAAAAAAAAAAAAAACAAACCAAGAACTAAGCAATGCATTGACTGTAATGACGAGATAGTGGCCTAACTCCAAATACAATCCAATAACCTGCTGTCTCAACACAGCTCTGCCAAAGCCTCACCCTGGGCCTATCTCAAGCCAAAAAAGAGCAGTTGAAACCAGACTGAGTGGGAACTGAGATCAATAACAAGTACTCAGAAAAGCAACATGACCAAGACAAAAAGAATCACAGGACAATGTTAAAATACAAAAGTGAAGGCATGTGTGGTTGATCATGCTATAGCACTGGGGAAGCAGAGGCAAAGGAATACCACAGATTCTAGACCAGCCTGTGATAGTGAGATTCTGTCTCAAAACAACAAGAAAGAAAACCAAATAAAAATAAAAAACAGCCTAAGTTGCTTTTTGTTTGTTTTCTGAGACAGGGTTTCTCTGTGTAGCCCTGACTGTCCTGAAACTCACTCTGTAGACCAGGCTGGCCTCAAACTCAGTGATCCACTTGCCCCTGCCTTCCAGGTACTGAAATTAAAGTACAGCACCATTGCCTGCTCCTAAGTCGCTTTTTAAAAATCTTTCTGCTGTCATATATACAAGTTAGCCTTGTTTCCATTCTGCAAAACAACCATCCTTACACCCACCTCAATTCAAGACTTCCCATTATGCCTAAGCTTAGAATTGTTTTCCAATTCTTGTTAGAACTAATGATAAAAGTAACAATGTTTATCAAATATATTCACATCTTCAAAAAGTAAGGGTGTACCCTACCATCAGTTTAAAGCACCACCACCACCACCACAACAACAACAACAAAAATGATGTACTGAGTGACAGCAAGGAAACAGTTTGAAAAGGACAAAGGTGACAGACGCTGGCGGACCTAGTTGGCGAAAGGCATTAATACAGTGAAGTGAGTCTGGGAACTGTGCCCAGAGCCATGCACTCCTCCTCAGCTCTTCCTGATTGAACAGTGGCAGAAACTGAACGCACAACTAAGAGCACCATGTGAAACCCCAGGACTGCACTGTCTGCCCGTGCAGCCACTAGCCACAAAGACCCTGAGCACAACCCCTTGAGATGTACAACCAGTGCAAAGGACATGTCGGATTTCAAAGACCCAGAATGAAAAATGTCATGTCAAATCAATATCCTCCACCCTCCTGTCACTCCCCAGGACCTCACTATAGAATCCTGGCTAGCCTGAAGCTCACTATGGAGATCGGGCTGGCCTCAAACTCAGAGAGATCCACCTGACTTGGCCTCCCAAGTGTTGGGAAATGGCTCTAATGCTTTGACCTAATTCGGCTCCCAAAGGCCACACTTCCAGATGCTGAGGGTTCCTGCCTCCAGCTGTCTTTGATTGGTAATAAAGAATTGCCATACAGCCAATGGCTGAGCAGGGAGATGGAGGCGGGACTTTTGGATTGCAAGGGCAAAGGACCAAGGGAGAGAGGAAGAGGAGAATTACCATGATGGGGAAGCAGAAAGATTCAACTTAAACACCTGCCAACATGTAAGAATCCAGGAAAGTGGCCCCAGGGGGCCACTTACCTGATTGGATCTGGGGTAGCAGAGATAAAATATAGATTTAGAAGGTGTTAAGCCAGGAATACTGGAGGGGAGTGTGTGCTAGCCAGGGGAAGATTCAGAAGTTCCTAGCCATTGAGCTAGTCAATACATATCAATTTTAGCTGGTGTGTGTTTGTGTGTGTATGCGCGTGCTATGTAAAATATCTTATTAATAAGTTAACATTAACTATATGCTAAAATAATATTTTGATATATTAGCTCGTTAATTTCATCTGTTTATTTTTACTTTTTAAATGTGGGCTACCATCAGTTTTTAAGTTATATGTACAGTTCAAACTATCTTTCTCCTGGCCCACACTGCTATACATAGTTAAACAGTGCTGAGAAGATGACAGAGCAGCTGATGAGCTTTTCTGAGTCCTTTGTACTACTGCTGTGACGCCAACAGTACAACTCACTTCATTCTAGCCTTGACCCCTGTTTGTAAACTGGGGTTTTAAAGGAAAGCCAAGAGGTGCTTTAAATCATGGGTTACACCAGATCAAAATAATTGAGCTGTAGTCCTGGTCCTGATACTTTCTAGAAGTTCCTTGGAAAAACCCAATTCCCCTCCCTGAGACTTAGTTATCTGGCCCAATAGCTAAGTAAGAAAATTAAGTTAAGTCTAGACTCTGTCGCTCCATCAAAATATTTCTTTTCTGTTGAAATTAGTCTTCATAAAATGAAGAAATACTCACTCTGAGTCTAACGCATCCTCTTCGAGAGCCTCTCATCATTTTGTCCTTGGACTAAAAGAAAAACAAAACAATAATAAACGGTTAAGACAAGTGCTTTTAGAGTCATCCAGGAACTAAAAATTGAGTAACATTTATATAACTGATCATTCTTGCTGCCCATCAGCTGCCACAGACATCATTTCTTGCAGGGAAATTACCATCTTTTAAATGAAAGTAGTTTGTCATCTATTCAAACCGACCTGAGCATAGAACTTTATGCACATCCTCAGTTTACAAAAGCCACTGCCTGTCCCGTCTCATGTCCCTTCACTATAGCCCAGCATTTCTCACCTATGGGCATAAGAATCTCTCCCCATGATGCTAATAAAATGCAAAGGACCCACCACACTTTAGAAACATGCTCAAGGATTATCCATACAATTCCCAGATGCCACTTCTCCTTTTCTGCTTTGCAGCCACTCAAAGTGCTTTAGCCATCTGGACTGGATTCTCATTTCTGAGTGCCCAGCCTCCTGTGTGTTCCCTGGTTGTGGTATGTACATTCTGTGGGGCATTCTTAGGAGGGTGAGAAGTCTTTTATCTTGGCGTATTTTATGCTTTGGTGCAGTGTCTGGTATACATTAGGTGCTCAAAAAGCATTTCCTCGTGAGACACTGTTGTCCTTTCTGTCCCCTCACTAGCCTGGGTGGAACACAGGCTGTCAAAGCAAGCATAGAGCTGACATCCAGGAAATAAATACTCCTGAAAGTAAATTCGCTACTCAAAGTAAAATCTAGGAGATGGATTATAATACATAATGTAATACTTGTAGAATAACCAATATTTTCCATTTCCTACTGTATGCGAAAAAAAATCAAAACAAGCTGATTCCAAGCGACTGTACAATTGTCCTGCTTGAAGCCCCAGACACCCTACAACCTCTAAATTTCTAAGCCATGGAAACTTATGTTCAAAAGTGATTGTGGATAGACTGAAGACAGATTGCTTTTATTTTTGCAAACACAGGCATATATTTTAGGGGGAAAATACCGGGCATGATCAAAGAGTTCTTTACTAAGAAGGCAGTTAATGAAAGCATTGTTAAGAGGGGCATCCTTAAGCACTTAATAACCCTTTTATGGACCTATATTTATCTTCTCTCCAAAACAAAGGCAGGATACAAAAACATTTATTAGGTTAGAATACAACCAATGAGATTAGACTGCAAAGCTAATACACACACTCTCTTTCTCTCTCTCATAAACACACACACACACATCCTTGAGTCACCTGCATTGTAAAAATCACAAGACACAGGGCCAGACAGGCCAATGATGTTGCTTCCATTTGGATTATGAATTACAAAATACTAAAAGAGACAACTGGAAGCAATTACACAAATAGCTGAGGAACTGCTTAGGCGAATCAGAATATGGAGAGTTCTACAAAATAACTGACAGACTCATATAAAAAGTTAAGCAAAATGTCTAACACATAAACAATCTAAAACACAGAGCACAGAAAGCACAAAGGAGCAAGGACAGAGGGCAACTCTGAAGGAAGCAGAGATCCAAAAGAAAAGGGTGTGGGCCTGGACTGCAGGAGTAAAGCATGCTGGCTCATGGGTAAAGGCACGGGCAGCACACTGATGACCTGAGTTCCATCCAGCACCATAGTTCCTTTTTCAGTAAGCTGTCTCCTTTGCCTGTCACTGTCTCCCCAAGCCTGTTCGATTCTTTCTTCCAGAACACAATAATCTGGAACCCCTCCAGGTAGTGCCCCCTGAACCCTGCTATCAAGGCCAGCAACACTGTTCTCAAGTCAGCCAGGACTACCTACACGAGCTCCAGGCCAGCTTGGGCTATATACAGAGACTGTTTCAAAATAAACATAAATATGTAAAGCAAACCAGAACAAAACAGTCTTGCAGTCCAAAAGCTTCCACCATTCCTGTAGCCAAGCCTGACTTTCCAGCTCCCTGAATCAGCCAATTGCCTTCATGCCTAAGGACTTTGACAAACTGTTCTCTTGCCTGCAGTGTTTGCACAAGTTCCAGGTTCCTTAACAAGCTAATCCTGTTACCCCCAGGGAATTCCATCTGAAGCCCTAGACTACATTATAACCATTCCTGCCAAAAGCCATTTTTTAAAGTCAATCTTTCGCTTCATAATACTGTGGGGAAATAAAACTTCCCTGGAACTCTGTGTTCCAATCAAAAGCTGTAGACCATGTCACAATAATTAAATTTTTCATTTTTCTCTGATCTCAAAGAATAATAAATATTTTCTTTCCCAGCAGAGTGTAAAAAATTACATCCTGGGGGCTGGAGAGATGGCTCAGTGGTTAAGAGCACTGACTGCTCTTCCAGAGGTCCTGAGTTCAAATCCCAGCAACCACATGGTGGCTCACAACCATCTGTAATGAGATTTGATGCCCTCTTCTGGTGTGTCTGAAGACAGCTACAGTGTACTCATAAATAAAATAAATAAATCTTTAAAAAAAAAATTACATCCTGGAGTAGGGAAGTCATTTTAAGATCATGCTAAGAACCACTCAGCTCAATGTATTAAATCTGTTGCCTAACAGGGGCTCAGAATTGCTGTTCTCTGAGTTACGTTTTCTTACTTTAGGTGAACTTCAGTATTCCACTTAAGAAGCCATCCATAGGGGCTGGAGATATGATTCTGAGGCTAAGAGCACTGGTGGCTCTTGTAGAGAACCTGGGTTTGGTCCCCAGCACCCACATAGTGTCTCACAGCACCTGTAACTTCATCTCCAGGAACCAAACACCCTCTTCTGGCCTCTATGGGCACTGTACACACATCAGGAACTTGTATGTATCCAAGCATATACATAAAATAATTTTTTTTTTGGTTTTTCGAGACAGGGTTTCTCTATGTAGCCCTGGCTGTCCTGGAACTCACTCTGTAGACCAGGCTGGTCTCGAACTCAGAAATCCGCCTGCCTCTGCCTCCCAAGTGCTGGGATTAAAGGCGTGCGCCACCACCACCCGGCTAAAATAAAAACTTTAAAGTATCTTTTTTTAATCTTCTAGGGCCAGCAAGATGGTTCAGTGGGTAAAACCGCTTGCTACAAAAGCCCTACAACTTGACCTAGAACCTTTGGTAGGAGGAGAGAACTGACTCCCAAAAGTAATCTTGTCTTGGACACATCTGCTATACAACACACACATACACACTTACAATAAATAAAAATTTTCATTAATTAAGAAACATTCCATGTGCAGTCACCAAAGGTAGATGCTGATGTGGAAGTCAGGAAGTGCATGCTGATAAGAGCCTGATATGGATGTCTCCTCAGAGGTCTTCAAGAGTCTGACATATTCAGAGGCAGATGCTCACAACTAGCCATTGAACTGATCATGGGGTTCTCAATGAAGGAGTTAGAGTGAAGACTGAAGGAGCTGAAAGGATTTGCGGCACCATGAGGAGAGCAACAATACCAACCAACCACAGCTCCCAGGGTCTAAACCACCAGCCTGGGAGCACTTAGGGAGGGATCCAGGGCTTTAGCTGAATATGTAAGAGTGGAGGGCCCTGCTGGGCATAGGTGGAAGAAGAGAACAGAACCTTGACCTCATGAAGGCTGGACGCCCCAGGGGGTGGGAATTTTGAGGGTGGGGAGGTGGGAGTGGGAGGGTAGATAGAGGTTACATCCACAGATAAGAAGGAGGAGGGGTGAGGGGATTGGGGGTTCCTGGGTGGGTAGAGGATGGGGTAAGGGGACAACATATGAAATGTAAATAAAACATCCAATAGAAAATTAAAAAAAAAAACAACAAAAAAAACAACAACAACAAAAAAGAAACATTCAAGATACTCTTCATTTCAGCTCCAAAGCTGCAGATAGCATTTATATGGAAGTTAGTCTTTTAAATGTACAAAATTATTTCAATCCCCTATAATTTCTAGAGCTAGTTATAAGAATATATAATATACATATATATCACACACACACACACACACACACACACACACACACACACACACGCGTGCGCATCTGTATAGTAAAGAAGGTACTATAAACAGCATCGTCTAATAAAAACAATTTGGCTATGGGAAATGCTGAAATCTGGCTTTGCCAGTTTACCAACAGTGCAGCCTTGACCAGATCCCTTCTGTTCTCAGACTTTAGCTTCCCTGTTGGTAAAATGGAGACATAACTCACTCTCAAGAGGTGGTCCCAAGTACTTACTACAGAAATCACACAGTACCCCTGTTTATGCCCCTTTCTTGTTCCTACCTTAAATACAACAAACACAGACTGTCGTGATGCTCTTTAAAACTAAACAGGCCCATTTCTCACGAGCAACAAATTTTATCAGAGGTCAGCGTGTAATTATCCAGACATGAGCAAAAAGACTACAGAAAGGCACATGTACCTCCTCCCTGTTATCAGAGTTTTAAAACAATGGACTTCAAGGAATTGGAATTTCCCAGGAACCCTGGTGCCAGCAGAGAGACATATTTATCAGAGAGGTTTCACATAATGCTAACTTCTTGCAAGACAGACCAGGAACCAAAAGCCAGTGATAGGTCTGTGTTGGGCAGGACTACACCATGACTCAGCTGCTTAGTTAAGTGTGCCTCTTGCCCTCTATTTAAATCTAAGTCTGGAGTCTGGACCCTAAAGATGGACTTGGTTGGAACTAGTGGGTCACTGGACCTTTCCATTCCTCCCTTGTCCCAGGGTGGCCACATTGAACACTCTTTCTGCTTTTCACTGTTACTTGTTACTTTTCTTGGCCCACTGAGGGCGGGTGGACTGAGTCTCTACCTTGTCAGTGCTCCAGGACACAGACTTGACCCAAATAACTCTGGTAATAAGAACAAACACTCCCACATATGACATCTTAACACCTAAAACCTAAGAACAGCCCAAAGGTCTCTCTCAAGTCTTCTTGTCTTCCTTAGGACCGGCTCCACTGAACCAGGGTGATAAGAAATCATGTGTATCACACAGGAAGAAGCTGAAAAAAATCAAACCACCTAGAACCCATGGAACCTTGTCTCAGGCCAGTCTCCGTTCTTCGAGCTCCCCACCCCCAAAGT